CAAACGATGATTTTTGTGGTGAGGACGTAGAAGAGGTTTTCTTCTGATGACTCTTCCATGAAGACCTTATTTGTATAAGTATCTCTTTATAGTGGAATAGTGTACCACAACTCCAGTGTCTGCCAGATCTTTCTGGAGGGATCGTGCAGTCAAACGTGGGTTTTGAATAGTTTTTCTCACAATCCTGCGAGCTGTTCTGTCTGATATTTTTCTTGGTCTTCCAGATCTTGCTTTAACTTCCACTGTTCCTGATGACTGCCATTTCTTAATTACATTCCGAACAGAGGATATTGACATCTGAAAACGCTTTGCTATCTTCTTATAGCCTTCTCCAGCTTTGTCAACTATTTTCAGTTTCAGTTTTCTAGACAACTGCTTAGAAGAACCCATGGTGCTGATTGTTGGGGAAAGGTCAGATGAGTCTGGGCATTTAAAACCGTTGAGATTGACATCACCTGGTCTTCCCAGACGATGATTGAGAACAATCCATGACACTGGCAGGTCTCAGCTTGGCAAAGGGGGCAGTGCATGCTATAAATTCTGCAGGGTGCCCAAACTTTTGCAGACGCCATTTTTTTGTTTTCTGTTATTTTGAAAGTGTAAATGATGGAAATAAAATCTAACTTTTGTTGACATATTATAAGAATGTCTAATCTGTAATTTGATGCCTTTTGGAGATTTTTCCATCTTTCCTTGGCTTCTTTATGCATATTAATACAAATTTTTAGCTGGGGTGCCCAAACTTTCGATCCCCACTGTACATTGCTGCAGTGCCTATAAAGTCCATTTTTCTGGCCTTTCCTCTTTGGTTGTATATATCATTAGCTCTATTAGGATGTGGCACTTGGTAGCTTTGATTATATATATCCCCACAGCCACTACTCTGTTGGATATTGCTAATTTTGTTTTCATAGAGTACTTCTAGCTTTTTCTGTTTCAGTAAGTTTTTATACAATATATGAAGATGCAGAATAAACATACTGTAAAGGGAGAAAGGAGGTAAAAATATACAGGGGTTAGGTATTTATATACAGTATAACAAGAGTTCTAACAAGCCAAAAGTGGTAGACATATTGGGGAAATGAAGGCATAACATCACAGTATATCTAATTTGGGTTTAAGTAACTATATTCCCATTAACCTCTATTAATTAAAATAAGTCCTAGAGAAAGGGCATATTGTATATTGTGAGATGGGGGTACATGGGGAGAAGAGGGGGAACCTAGGGGGATATGGTACTTTTAGCGCTTTCACAGAAAAACCACACACCCCGTCCCTTTCAGCTTTTATGCCAAGTGTGTCCTCACTTTGTCCTTTTCCTCCTCTGTCAAAACATTGAACTCTCAAGTTTAATCTGATTGGAGCATTTTGAATTCCTATCTTAAGGCTAGATCACCATTTTAGGGAAAACCTTAATTTAAATAGCCCAGCAGATAGAATCTCTATTAAAATTATAACAAAGGTAGACTTGCTAAAGGCTTCACTGAAATGTAAAACCACAATTAACTATTCAATCTATAAAAACTTTCAGATTTTATTAAGAATTACTATAATTAATAGTTTGTCACAAAATCACCTAAAATGTAAGCAAGGTCACACATCTGTCCATCGCAACCAGTCCCACATAGTCTACTTGTTTAATTAGTGGGACAGGTGCCTATCTCCTGGCCAAAGTACGTTTTTCATTGACAATATAATCTGTCTGTGACAGCCTTTTTCAACCAGAGTGCCCAGGCACCCTGGGGTGCCTTGTCAAAATTCCTAAAAATTTCCCAAAAATTGTATACAAGTTGATCAATCCTGCCTTTAGGTTACACAAAGCCACATGTTTTTATTCACCTTCATGACCTTCTAGTTGCTGACATCCTAAAAACCAATGATATCAGCTGATAAGGAGGACTTCGGGTATATGCACATCATCCTTTTTGCTCCTCCCCATCAGTACTGGGGTCACATTAGCAGAGTGAGGGACAGAAACTGGTATATGAGGGAGAGAACAAGTGTATTTGCTTTGGAAGAATAAATCACCTCTAACGTTGGGTGTACAAAGTGTGTAGAAATGTTATTTACATTTTAGAATGGGGTACCTTGAGATTAACCATAATTTTAAAGGGTGCCTTGACTGAAACAATGTTGAAAAACACCGGTCTATGATACGATGTGATATGGAAAACACTGTCAACAAATCACTTTATGACTTTGTTACAGTTTTATTGATGTTGAAACCTTAGGAGTGGATCATTATCATAAAAAAAGAAGCCCCTGTGAGGGAGAGAGTTTGGGGTTATTCATTTTTTGTACTAAATTGTGCCAATTGTCCGTAAAAGGTTTAAAAAGTGTAAGCATGTATAAAGAATTAAAGTACAACGAAAGGTTTCTAAATGACAGTCTAAGCACGTACCAAATCCAGTTACTATATGATACACAAGCCTCATAAGGTAACCAAAAAACTTACTTTACATTCCCTAACTAAACCAAAGCTTCTTTTTTTTTCATATGTCCCCACTACAGCTCATGGTGAGAGGATTTCAGCAACAGAGGCAGTGTTGTCAATCCAGAAAGCAGTGGGCAAGACTAGGTGTGGCTTAATGGTGATTGATAGACTACATGCTGGTGGATCAGCATTGACAATGCTACTCCTCCTGCAACATTTTGTTCATCCCCATTGTAGTGAAGGGTGCCACAGCCTAAATGAAGGTGGGAAATCTGATTTGAATTCAGGAACCGTACAGCATCATAGCTTACCGTCAAAGGAAAACAGCTAGGTGGACTTCACTGGCAGAATCAATGGGTACTTGTGAGACTTGGTGGGCTAATGAAAAATTGTAAGATCTGATGCTGTAGCACATGTCTTTTTATTGGGTAGCCATAATTCTACTTTAAGGGCAGTATTTTGATTAAAAAAAATATTTTGGCAGATATAAAGAACACTGAAGGTAATGCAGGAAACTTCATTTATTTGACATGAAGAATTCACTCAGGGATCAGGTGGTTGTTGTGAAAAAACCAGCTCCATAGTTACCTAGCTGAAGGAGTGTTAGAAGCTCAGTTATAGTCTACAAACAGAAACAAGTCTACCCCAAGCTAGAAATTCTGCTAAATTTATACACTGTATATCAAAAGGTTTGTATCTTGGGGTAAAGTCACTTAAAGAGTGTCTGCATATACAGCAGGTATATAACAAACTGCCAGCAGTATAGTAATAGTCTTCACAGTAGCTTAGTCCCCCTGTCAGACCATTTCATCTACAGAATAACCATTCAGTATCCAGAAAGGTGAGGCGCCTGCTCCTGGAACTATAAAGGAGCACTTCCTTACTAAAAGAAAAGGTAGTTGGAGTAGAATAGAGATGATTTGTATGGTAGTTTTGTTCTCCTCAAGCTGTTCGCATAGAAAGGGACATATTGGGAAAATGTAGCACAATCAAGATCAATGACTGTCTAAAAGAGTCCTGGGCAAAGTTGAGTACCCTTATCTGATTCATCTCGACAAAGGTGGTGCTGCGCTAATCCTATATACAGTGAAGACAAACTATATCTCACTAATCAACGAAAAAGAATGAAATGAAAAAAAATGAAGGATGTTTCCACAGATCTTTGGTCATAAATAAAATATCAATATATACACACCCAACTAAAAAATGATGAACACACAAAAGAAAAAGGTGCTGCAGTACCCCTGTAAGAATGGTGAGCAAATCTAAGTGAGTGACATGGAACTCCATATATAGGGAGTCCAACTATCAATCATCACGAGGGCGGACCCTGGAGGCCATTTTAATGAAGACCAGAATGATAACCAGCTAACTAAGGCATGGCAAAACCTCCAATATAGCCAGGCTAAAATATACTTTAATATGGAGAAATAAACATATTAAAAACCTTAAGGCACCCCTCCGAAACCCGGACATGATATTTTTATTTATGACCACAGATATCTGTGGACACAACCTTCTTCATTTGTTTTCATTTCATTCTTTTCCTTTGATTAGTGATATATAGTTTGTCTTCACTTTACTGTATGTAGGATTAGCGCAGCACCACCTTTGCCTTGCTATTTTCTTACTATTTGGTTATATAGTTTGGTGCTAGCAGCCATTCCTGGTTTTGGGGATAGATTCATATGTTTCGCTACAAATCTAAATTTGTACAAAATTTTTGTTATTCGGATGTATCCGAATTGCAATAGCAACGAATTTCAACAAATCCAAAATAAATTATAACAAAACAATTAGTCTATATTCATTCATTTCATTCAGATGACATGATGTGATAGTTTGGTCCTTTTTGTTAATGTTTGAAGCATATGAAATAACATAACGACAAAAAGGAATGATCTGAATTAATTTGGATCCATTTTGTTTTTATTTTGCATTAACATTTTTCATTCTAAAAAATGCACGACATATATGAAATGGAAACATATTTGCAATAAATACAGTAAAAAAAGAAAAAAATAAAGTATAAAAGTGAAATTCCCACTTATTGTGTTTGGGTTGGATGGAGGGGGATCCATCAAACTCTCCTAATCATAACATAATGAATTCATCCAAAATTTATTTTGTGCCATTTGTTCTTTTGGATATACTTGACTTACTTACTCCAGTCAATATTGTCCGATCAGCTCATTCAATTTCTCTTTGTGAGTTGGACTAGCAGAGATGGTTCGGATTGCATAAGTAATCTTCCAAAATAATGAATTAATCTGTTAAAACTAATATAGGCAATTTTCCAAAATAAATTTGATTCGGAACAACAAATATATGAAATGAATCAGAATATACAAAATGGATTCTGAAAATGAATCATTCTAACATAACGAATATGACAAAACAAAACGATGTACGTAACTAATTAAAAAAAAAAAAAAAATTCCATCATGTACATCTCTAGTCATTATCTATGAATGTTTACATAAATTAGCATGTAGTACAGATAAAGTAGTTATTACTGCTTTAAAGAGACCTTGATTTTTTTTTTCCTTTCTCTTTACAAATATAGAATTGACCTGAAAATGTCAGGAAACCATTGTGGTTATAAACTTGATGAAGCTCAAGCTATTCTGAATGAAATGAAAGCCATCAAAAAAGCGATCAGTTCAGGAGAACGAGAGAAACGGGAGCTAATACAGGTAACATATGGATGAAAATTGCTTGGTTGCATCCTGTAGAAAACACAATTTTAGTGTCAAAGTGATATATTTCATTAAAAAACTGTTGCCATTCTAGCATGGGCTTTGTTTTTGTTCACATCATGTTTACCGTTTACTCTTTAACAGGCAATTGGCCTTGGCTATTTTATCTACCTTGACAATATGATGCTTGCATACATGCGAGTCAGGCGAACATGAGTGTGTTTATTTTTGTGGATGATTACCTTCAAACACATTGGTCCAGTTTTGTGGTTATTAATTATATTTGTATACCCACTTAGGGGTATATTTATAAATTATTTGCCCAGTAGGCTTGAGAGAGATGCACAACATTGCCCCAATGCAAAGCTTTATTAAATTCCCATTTTGAATATGAGTTCAGTTTTGGACACCAGTACACTAAAAGGATGTTGTGGAACTGGAAAGAGTGCAGAGAAAGGCAAATACAGTACATTAATAACTGACATAGATGCATTATCTTTGAGGAAATATTAACAGAACAGATGGTATATGAGTAAACTTGGTGAAAGTTCTTCACTTAGCTGTCATCACAAATGTTAGGCGGCACCTTGAGAAACAGTCATTTACTGTAAAATCCTTTTCATGACTAGACTTTCCAGGGGGGATATCAGACCATTTGTGCATAAGCCCTGTTCCTAGAACAATGGCAAGAAAAGGAAGGCCAAACATTCAACAAGCCAAAGACATTGTACTCAAAACTAGAATAGAAGGGCAGAGCCTACATACTCCAGTGATTTAAAGTAAAACTTTAGGCAAAACCTTTTTTTTTTTTTTTCTCCATTTTGGATAGAGCAAGGGAGGGTTATAATCCCATTGAGGAAATTTCCCTTTACTTTCTGTCTCATAGCCAAATAGGAAGTGAGAGGAAATCCCTGCAAATTATGGGAATTCCTTGGGGACCACCAGATCACCAGAACTAGTGTCGCCAATGGAAGATATCCCCTCTATTACTTTTTTGGGGACAACCCAAAATTTGATTTTAATGATTTTTCAATGATAATGGTAAACAGGACAAATAGAGAAGGTAAATCTCCCTAACGGGCACAGATGGCAATAAAAACTGACAAGCATTCTAATCCATCTCCAATCTAAAATGAAAAAAAAAGTTTAGCCTTTAATTACACTTTTTTAACCTAAAATTATTTTTTTTTAAAACTTTTTGTTGTCAGCTGAAAACTGAGCAATCCAGCTCATCTGTTCGTGACTCCTCACAGTTGTTTGCACAGCTAGCAATTAGCTGTTAGGGACAGATGACCGTGGCTGGACACAGACAGACTGCATGTATTGAAGCTTCGTTCTTAAACTGGCGGTAAATTAGAGCCCTATATGCAGCCTGGGTACAGAATGCAGAGTCTTCCCCAAGCACAATGTAATGGATTTGTAGATATTATACACTTAACTGCATCCTAATCCCTGATTCTTACGCTATCTCAGCTCCTAATTGCATAGCATCTACAAAAATAATCCTGTAAAATCTCAACACATTTTTTGCACTTAAAATGATTAATTCACTTTATCAGCAATCTTTGTTTTTTTTTAATGCTTTTGTAGATATATTAGGTTAATTTATTTTGAACATTAATTCAGTTGTATTAATATTATACCAGTAACAAAATACTGGCCTGATGCTACTTAAAAGTATGATTTATAGTTGGAATTTTTTTTTTTTTTTTTACAGAGTCTTGCCAAGTTGAAAAATGGCTTTGTCATTGACAAAGGATCTCAGTCAGATCTCTGGACCAGTGAGACTTCTTTGAATAGCTCATGTCTATCTTTGCGCAGAAATGTTAGTTCCCAGACTGATATTTCCGGAAATGTAAGTATATATTTTAGGAAATGTTAGCATACTGTAATAATTTTTATGTTCTATAATATGTGTGAGCCAAGCAAGTTTGCAAAGTTGTAACAGAAAAAAGGTGAATGAAGACAGTTCTGTTTGTTCTAGAGAAAGAGGCTGACAGTGAAACTGTCACTGTCATTTAAATACATGTACCTCAAAGATTAACATGCAGTGAATGTTTGTGCCAGATTCACTTCTTTATAAATATGCCATTATGAGACATATTCACTGTAAGAGTTCAGCATCATTCATAATTGCTCCCTTTTATGTTCTAAAGTAGTACTGCAACAGTGTAACCTTGCCCTAACTACTTCTTAAAGTGATTGTAAAACTTAAAATTTATTTTTTTAAACTAACAAAGAAATCATACTTACCTGCTTCAATTTTGTGCAGAGCAGACCCGATCCTCGTCTTCTCTGGTCCCTCCGTCGGCATTTCCGGTTCCTTCCCCATGCCAAGTGCTTCGCTTGCTTTTGGGGGACCCATACAGGTTCGCTTTTGAGCCAGCTCTGTGTGTCCATAGAGGCAGAGCTGTGTTTGTCCACTGACACACAGAGCTGTCATTGCTGTGTCTGAGCCAATGAGGATGGGAGTGAGCTGAGAGAGCCTCTGCTTTTGTTCACATTGTTGGATCGACATCAGGCTCATGTATGTATAAGGGGGGGTTTTGTGAGCATTGAAGGTTTTTTTACCTTAATGCAGAGAGTTCATTAAGGTAAGAGAACCTTCAGCCTTTGAAACCACTTTAATTGTGCATATGTTAGGCGTGCAAATGTATAATCTGCTGTAGTAAATCTGTCTCAGTTGGCAGCCGAGAATTCCAAGTGCAGGGGTTGCAAATCCAAATGTAGACTCACATATACTTATATATGTGTGTGTGTGTGTGTGTGTGTATATATATATATATATATATATGTGTGTGTGTGTGTGTGTGTGTGTGTGTGTGTGTGTGTGTGTGTGTGTGTGTGTGTGTGTGTGTGTGTGTGTGTGTTGTGTGTGTGTGTGTGTGTGTGTGTATATATATATATATATATACACACACACACAAAAGTATTGGGACTCCTGCCTTTACATGCACATGAACGTTAATGGCATCCTAGTCTGTAGGGTTCAAAATATTGAGTTGGCCCACCCTATAACAGTTTCAACTCTTCTGGAAAGGTTGTCCACAAGGTTTAAGAGTGTGTCTATGAGAATGTTTGACCATTCTTCCAGAAGCACATTTGTGAGGCCAAGCACTGATGTCAGATGAGGACAATCACCTTAAGTCTTTGCATATGACACATGAGCAATTGATTTGTCGCAAAAGGTAATCGGCAGTATGGGAAGTTATGGTAAGAAGGTTCCAAAGCACAATCCCATAGCAAATAAGCCTGTATAACAGTGGTCTATACAGTATGTCTGTCTAAAAAAAAAAAAAAAAAAAAAAAAAAAAAATTGTGATTCCAAAGCAGTAAGTTGCTGACTTACCATCCAGTGGGCTTACTGCTCACCTGATTCAGATAGATATGGCAAATAAATTCATAAACAGGATAATAAAAGCATCAGATGTAAGGGCACTGGTCATGGAATGCAATCTCTCCTTCCCTGTATTGGTCTCAAAAATGCTGCTGGAGGATCCTTCGTTGTCCCACTCAGGCCAGTCCGTTACCTTGTCTGTTAATCCTGAAGTAGCTGTATGAGAAATGCCAACAAGGACTCTCGCTCCTCAAACCAGGCAGAGTACACCTTCAGACTGGCCAGTCATGAAGCACCTCTTTTGAGTGTCAAGAGGCACTTCAAAACTGAAACAAAAGAGAGAAAATTATGGAAGTGCAGCCTTTTTTTTTTAAAAAAAATTAAATGCTTTCCATTCAGTGACATCGGAGGCACTTCCATAGATTTGGGTTTCCATGGGACAGACCCCTTTAAATGGAGATTATCACTCTGAAACAGGAATGAATGGCAATCATAATATATACAGGATAACAAGTTGTATAGATCTGTATGGTACTTCATGGAAACAGAGAATTTGGCAAGAACAATCAATATTTAAAAACCAGTCTCTGTTTTTGAATGCAGAAAACACTATTGAAATACTCCATTGAGGGTTTTTCCAGTGCCGTAATACTGTGGTAACTATGATAATTACCATAGACGGGTGTTGCCTAAATCAAACAGGTGCTTGCTTTATTTTCCCAACCTGCATTTAGGCCCCATGTACACTGGATACTTGTGAATGATGTAAACCGACTGCTGGAAAACGTAGGTTAAAAAAGTCTGTTTAGCTGCGTTTGCATACCGCGTTTATGCGCGTTTGCGTTTAGAAGCGGTTTTTAAAGATAAGCACAGGAGAACCTCCCAAATGCCCAGTATGCACTGGAAAGTGGTAAATTATTAACTATTTCAGACTGTTTCAGAGAAATACAGAGTAGAAGCAGAGAGAGCAGTATGTGTTGAGATTAGCTTAGGTGGGAGTTGCTCATTAACATTTCTTTTATTTCCAAGGATGGGAAAGGTGCCTAGTGGAGGTAGTCATTAAGGCCACCTGGCAGGGGGTCTTCATGAGGAATTTGAGGTGTGAATGGTCATTAACATATCTTTTGTTTCCAAAGGGTGGGAGAGGTCTGAGGTGTGAATTGGTCATTACAATGTGTAACAAGCTTGGTAGGAACATCCTTTGTTCAGTGTTTTGTCCATTTGAGTACCTTGAAAACAATTTGCATGCATTTTTCATGATGAAAAAAGGCTCTGGACAGCATCTGGAAATGGAACCGTTTTAAAACGCTTCTAAACACAAACTCTTATAAACGCGGTTAGCCATGTTTACAAGCGTTTGAAACGCTGATAAAATCTACTCCTGAACGCAAGTTTATTGCGCTCAAAAAAAAGGACTGTAAACTTAACTGCCTGTAAACGACTGTGAACGACATAGTGTACATGGACACATAGGAAGGCATTAGGGAGAGTTCAGGGGCTGCTGAAAAAAAAAACGCAGAAAAGCTCCTGAATGTGAGTTTATCTACTGCAGTGTACATGAGCCCTAACGGATAGGTTCACCTTTTGGAACATGTTACATGTTCCACCCATATTTAGGGTGGAACATGTAACATATTCCAGCTCCTACCCCAATCCCTCCCCTCAATGTGACAGCGGGCGGGGGTTCTTCTCCCCACACCTGCTGTCACTTTTTAAAAACAGCATGGCTGTGCAGGGTTCTGCCCACACAGTCACATCATTCATTCAAAGATTGCTGTGAATGACTAAAATACAAGAACTGTCTGCCACCGTGGCACAGACTTGTAGATTCAGTTGTCTGTGGGGTGCTGATGAGCACTCTGAAAGCCAGAGGACATGTCAATGGACTATGAAATGGGCTGAAAGCTGGAGGACATCTCTGTAGCAGCCTGACATTGCACAGGCTTCTGCAGGAAAAAAATTCTAAAAGCACAATTTTATTTTACAATTTTATTTCTGCAAAAATATTATGTTTTCTGTAAAGGCACACTTAGCCTTTAAAATATGGTAGCATTGGGATTCTTATTTGCACACTTTCCTAATTTAGAGCAGAGAAGGAAAGGTTTGGCTAATGTAACAGTAGCGATGTACCTAAAGGATTTAAAATCACCTGTCTTGTTGTGTAGTGTTTACATCAAAAAGAGTAAATGTAAAATTATTTTCTTGATCAGTATGACAACTTAAACATTATAAATGTGTATCTTTGCTTTCCCAGCTTGCTTTGAAAAGTAATAACCAGTTGGCTGAGAAGGTCAGATTACAACTTCAATATGAGGAGGCGAAGAGACGGTAATTGCTGTTTTATGTTTTTTGTTTTTTTTTTTTTTTTTTTTATATATATGTTTTTTTTTTGGTTTGTTGCTAACAGGTAATTTTTGTAACTTTTCATGTACAAGTTTGTTGGATACAAAACAAATGCATCTTTGTAACTGCACATCCTTCTACTAGTATAACCTAATTTTTTTACGTTTAAAAAAAATTTAACCTTCAGTTGGAGGTCATCTCCCGTGGTGCAGGGACTCTGGGACCTTTAGTGATCAGGTTCAAGTATCCTCATATGTCACCCAGGTATGATCGTATGGAGTTCATGCATACTGCAATGACCCCTCTAGCTGAGCTTCAGCATGTTTAACAGTTTTGCAACCTCTTACAACTTAACTGCAGCAGTTATTGACCATCTCTTATATCCATATGAACATTAGGATAGTCCAAGGTAAAACAATCAGATTGGTATAAAATCAAAAATTATGCAAGTCATATTTCAGTTATGGAAGGTTATTGTAAAGCCTGTAGCTTTTAATAGAAGTGTTCGATTCATGTAATGGAATTTACAGCTGTATCAGATATAATATTGAAAGCCATACCTCCCATCACGTATACATTTTCGGGTTTCCCTTTTCGAAAGAACAAATGACTTGCAGATAGGGCGTAAACGTGTAATCCTGTCTAATGGTAAATGCATGTGTATAGACAACGGTTTTACGTAAATAGAGCCCATAATTGCTTGCTAAGAGAAAATAGACTGTTTTATTTATCAGAGTTTTTTTATATGTATAACTTAAGTCTACAACTGTAATATTTTTTTTTTTTTGCTGCTTAAAGTTTTATGATTAACCTGTGTTATCAGAATAGGAGACTATGACCTTTTTTTTTTTAGGTCTGTCTGCATGTTCCTTAAAAGATCCATAGGATATACTTCATGTGAGCTGGATATTCAGCGTTGGAAATACATTTAAGTTTGTCTTTCTGCAGTCATAGCCACAGGCTAGAATGTAAAAAATCTGAATGTGAAATCATGCAGTTGACATAAAGAATCTAAATATTAAAGCCAAACTACATCTTGGTAAAAAGGTGCAGTAAAACATTTGCTTTTATCTCATCCTAGAATATCCAATGTAAAAATACAGCTGGCAAGACTGGACAGTGAGGCTTGGCCTGGTGTTCTTGACTCTGAACGTGATCGGCTGATCTTAATAAATGAGAAAGAGGAGCTCTTAAAAGAGATGCGCTTTATTAGTCCAAGAAAATGGAGTCAGTCTGATGTGGAACGACTAGAAACTGAAAAGAAACAATTAGAAGAAGATTTGCAAGCTGCAAGAGATACCCAAAGCAAAGCATTGACTGAAAGGTAAGGAGTTAATAGAATCAATTTATTTACATCAGATAGCTTAAGGATGATCCTAATATTACATAGTTTTATACTAACACAAATTGAGAAATTACACGTTCTTAGTATTAAAATATGCATATTTATCTTTTAGACATTTTAATGCCCACGTCTGGGCATTTTTATATTGTCCTTCGCAAGTGTTTACAATAATAAGCAGCTCTGCAATGCCCACTTCCTTTTGGCACTGTCCCCCATACTGTTTTCTTTCCACCACTGAATAAACTCAGCCTTCCATGTTAATTTACATCTAGCAACATTCAATTTGAAAGACTTAAACAAGTGCAGAAAGTTATGGACCCTAAAGTGGGTGTAACCATGGCACATTTACAGTGCAATGATGCATGCAGTGCAGTGCTGCTATCCGCATCATTGGGGACTACTCGCTAGCAGAAGATGAAGACAACCCTGCATGCTATGTCATCAGTCTGAATGCTTTGATATTACTATGAATTTTTAAAAACAAATGGCTTACAGGGCTTATGTGAATTCAACCTCCCTCCAGTCAAAAAAAAAAAATTATTCTTGAAATGCATTTGAAAGCCTGACCTCTACGATGCATTGTTCTTTTCTAGCCCAGTTTGGGTGTGCAGGAAATATTATTAGGACCAAAATTATAACATCCAACAGATGCACAAACCCTTGTTTTCTTTTAGCTTATTTTAGCTCAGAAACTGTTTAACTATAAAGATGTAGAAAACAGGCACCATACTGCATACCTCCCGAATTCAGCTCCATTCAAGTGGGTGGTACTTGTTGAATCTTAGACGTTTTTGCTTTTACAAGTGATTGATAAAAATAATACCTGTGAATTATTGTTTTAGCAAGTTCTCGGTTTGCTGACCTCCTCTAGGAATGCTACCTAAATCCATTTATTTCTGTTACACAGTTCCCCCTAAATTGTTAGAAGATGCAATTTGAAAATGGATAGAAAACTGGCTAAAACATGCAGCAGAGCTCTGGCAAATGCTTATTACCTGGCAAAGTCCTGAGGCACAGATTCTGTGCATGCATATAAACCTGTTGCAGGGCGCTTTGCCAGGTCCTACAAACCACGATAGTTCATCCCAGATTAATACACTGCCTCCTGGGATTTGTGATGTGGACATTCCAGGAGGTGGTGTGTAGGGGATACTATCCACTTTAAAAACTCTGCTGCAGGCGTTGTTGTTCAGTACTTTGACGTTACTGCAGATAACAAAGTAAATATAATAATAACACACACATTTTTTTCTTGAAATATTATTGTCGGTTTTTATTTATGTATTTTTTTTATTCAAAATTTTTTATTGAAATTTTAACATACAAAGAAGAAAAAAAACAAAGTAAAATGCAATGATCAATCTTGTTCGATTCACATTTGGGAAAATTGAGACATGGAAAGGAAAGTTAAGAGACAAGAGAAGGTTCCCCACCTAGTGGCCGGGGAGCCTGTGTATCCTTAATTTATTTACATGAGAGGTATGCTCGGTCTGTTGTTAACCGTTTAAGAAAACTAGTGAGGTGTAAATATTGGGGGGAACATGAAATTAAGGGGGGGATGGAGCGTAAGAAAAAACATGGAGAGGGGGAGGGGGGGAAGAGGAAGAGCACCAATGAAGTACTGGTATGGAGTATTATATCCATTACAGATAGTAATCATGTTATTACGCATCTGGGATTGTTTAACCATCGCGACCAATGACTTGTAAATTTGTGGAGGGAGGAATTATAAATTGCTATTCTTCTCTCCATTGCACATTGGAGGTTAAGGTCAGATATGAGGTGGGAAACTGATGGGACGGTGATGGATCTCCATAGTCTGGTGATGTTAGTTTTTGCAGCTGCTAAGATGTGGATGATAATGGTACGTACGTTTATCGGGAATGTGTCTATTCCAATGTGGAGAAGCGCCAAGGCGGGATTTGGAGTTACTAAAGTTCCAGAGAGTAAGGAAATTATCTGGAATACTTTGTTCCAGTACGACTTGAGCGATTTACATGCCCAAAAGGATGTGGAGAAGTGTTCCTTTTTCTCCGCAATGTCTCCAGCAGGTGTTCGCATGTTGAGGGTAAAAGAGGGCTAATTTAGTTGGGGTTAGATACCAATGATGTAGTATTTTTAAATATGTTTCCCAATGGGAACTACATTTTGGAAGCTTTAAAGGTGATGGCAAATGTTTTTTCCCAAATGTATGGGGTTATTGTTTGGCAAAGATTCTGCTCCCAATTGATTAAGGAAGAAGTATGTGTAGTAAATTGTGTCTCGGTAATGAGTGAATAGAAGGTCGAAATTCCTTTCTTAGGATACTGTTTCCTTTGATAGAAATTCTGTGTAGTTGCAGGAGTCTCTATTTCGATTGGTATTTTTGCTGTGTTAATGGAGTGGGTTATGCGCATATAGGTATATTGTTCCTATCAGGAAGATGAAATTTCCGCTGGATAACAGAGAAGGAGTCTAATTTATGATTCGTGTAAATGTCTTTTATGAAACGTATACCACGACTTCTCCATGATTATATATTTAGGTGAGGGGTGATGAAGTGTAAGGACGTCAGGGGAGTGGGGCTTTTCACACTGCTTGTGTTGCCTTGAGCGCGGGTTGAGAAATCAAACCAAGCATTTAGAGAAGCCTGTATGCAGGGGTGTGTTTGCAGGGTTTTAGGTTAAACTGCTCTGGGTATGAATAGTATGTCTGTTATTGCGTGTGGTAGGCCCAAGGAGGTTTCCATTTTGGTCCATATCTTCTCTTCGGTAGGGTGCCACCAGAAGAAAAAGCTGGTCTAGTAAAGCGGCTTGGTAGTATGATTTCAAGTGAGGAAGACCCGCTCCACCTCTGGAGGGAGGGCGTAGTAATAGATTCACAGAGCATCTGGGTCTGCTAGAGTTCCATAGAAATTTGTTTATTAGAGATTGAAGTTTAGCGAAAAAGGTGTGTGTGAGTGGTATAGGAAGCGTCCGAAAGTATATATAGTATTTTAGGTAATATGCACATTTTCACCGTTGCTACTCTGCCTAGAGTCGATAGTGTGGATGTGCGCGTAAGCATTTTAGTTCTTGAGGAATGTTTTCCAGTAAAGGTTTGAAATTAGTTGTGTAGAGTTGGTTAGTAGTTGCAGTGAGTTTGATCCCTAGATAGGGTATGCTATGTGTTTCCCATGTAAAGGGAAAATGTGTGGATATTAAGGCTTGGGTTTCAATAGGTGTGTGTAGGTTTAGTATAGATGATTTAGGTTCGTTAAGTTTGTAGTATGAAACATCTGCGTATCTGCGTATATGTGTATGTATTGAGCAAAGTGAATTATAAGGGTTCGTAATCATAAGGATAATATCATCTGCAAAGAGACTAAGTTTGTGTTCATATTGGTGAAGTTTAACGTGAAGGCTGGGTCGCTTCTAAGATTGGTTGCTAATGGTTCAATAAGTAAGGCAAAAATTATGGGGGACAGAGGGCATCCTTGTCTGGTGCCGTTTGATATGCAGAAAGGCTGTGAGAGTGTACCGTTGGTCAGTACTCTGGCAGTGGGTTTGGAGTAGAGAGAGAGAATTGCTGAAAGCATCCAGTCTGTTATTCCGAATTTTTGTAAAGTAAGGTTCATAAATTGCCAGTGGATTCGATCAAATGCTTTTTCCACATCTAGTGATAGGAGGATGGAGGGTTGTTTTTTGGTCTCAAGATGGTGTATTAGGGAGATAATTCGTCTTGTAGCGTCAGGAGCCTGTCTACCAGGTATAAATCCCACTTGATCTGGATGGATTAATGTGGGTAAATATGGAAGTAATCGTAGGGCAATTATTTTGGCGTAAAATTTTTATGTCCGTATTGAGTAAAGAGATTGGTCTGTAATTTTTTATTAACTGGGGGTCTTTGCCCGGTTTAGGGATAGTAGTTATTATGGACTGTAGCATGTCAGAGGGGAATTCCCCATTAGTTGCGGCATGGTTATAGAGTGCAGATAGGTGAGAGGTAAGATTGGTTTCTAGTGACTTGTAAAATTCATTAGTATAGCCGTCGTTCCCTGGTGATTTGTTTTAAGGGGAGAGTGTTTATGGCTTTCTTAATTTCTGGTGGTGATATCGGTACCGAAAGCGATTCAAGTTGGGAAGGGGGGATGCATGGGAGATTTATGTTCTGTAGGAAGTCGCCAATGGAGAGAGTCGTTGGCTGGATTGTATTTGAGTCATCTTTTATATTGTATAGGTTTTGGTAATATATTGCAAAAGCATTGGCTATATCTTGCGGATTAGTTAATGTGGTGTGAGTGGTAGGGTGTTGGATTGTGGAGATTTTAGCTTTGATTCTCTTTTGTTTGACAATTTTAGCAAGGAGTGAGTTTGCCTTATTTCCTAGAGCATAGAAATTTGGTTTTAGTTTTTTGAAGATTAGTATCATAATTTTGGAGTAAAATAGTACGTAGTTTGTTTCTTTCTAAATTTAGGGTCGCGGATGTGGAAGGGTTCGGGGTCTGTTTGTTTATTGTTTCATGTAAACGGATTGAGGTCAGTAGTTGGGCAATTTGTTGGGATCTCTGTCTGTTTATGCGGGATTTCAATTGTATGAGGATACCTCTCATGTAGGCTTTGTATGTCAGCCAAAGTGTAGTGATTGAGATATCCGGGGGTATAGTTTGTTTCGAAAAAGAGTTTGTGGGCGTCTAGGATATGCTTCTGGTTTTCTGGGCTTTTCAGAAGTGAAGAATCCAATCTCCAAATAGGTGGGATTGCAGAGCGTGTGTCGTCTTCCAAGGGATATACTGATCGGAGCGTGGTCTGACCAAGTTATGGTTCCGATTTTGGATGATCTCACGTGTTGTAATGTCCACTTGTCAGTGATGAAATTGTCGATTCTCGAATATGAGAGGTGAGGAGGGGAGTAGTAGGTGTAATCTCTCTCGGTGCCATGTTGACATCTCCAGATATCATATAGATCGTGATCGTGTAGGAAATGGTTAAAGTCAAGTTTGGTAAGTTTTTTAGTAGAAG